TGAGCTATGAAGCCACACGTTGGGAGCGAGGTCAATATATTGAGTTCATATATTCCCGTGAGGAGTGAAATGATGTGAAGTATATAATAATTCATATTTGAACTGCGGTTGTAGATGAAAGTGAAGAATGATCATCACAGTAAATTTTCCAAGTTAAGCAACTGCAATTTTTTCAGGCTTCTTCTTTCCAATTGCTTAAATTGGAAAATTTACTGCGATGATCATTCTTCACTTTCACTAGAGTTTCATCCGTAGCCTTAACAGTTAGAACCACCTTGTACACAGCAATAAACAGGACCACATAAAAGTACTGCTCCATAGCGTTCATTTGAATTGTCACACACTGGTTTTTTCACAGACCTGAGAGAGCTGTTCGCTGTTCATTTTTGCTTTCATGAATTTTTTGTTCTTTGGTTTTTAGTGGTCCAATCTATAAACTTGTAACTACAAACTTGGGTGGAGAGAGAAGATTTGCAGCGGCAGTTGCTCGCAGGCTCCAGTCACTAGGTAATGTAACAAGAAAACCAGCTAAACATGTTATGTTGAAATCTGTACATTTTACATTAACCAATCAGGATGAGGCTGTCTCTTTTTCTGCAAATTAAGAAACGCATATAAGGGTAAGAGGAATGGTGCTAGGCAGGAGAAGTCTAGAGGATTCTGTTCTTCTTTTTCGATAATTGTTTTAAATTTATTTAGTTGTCATCACTCAACTGCAACGATATATATTTTTTACCAGCAAGCGACAGCAAGTTAATGTTCACTCTGCGAAGGGGATTCAGGAGGGGAGCTGGGGGGGGGGAGGGGGGGTTAGAAATACCCTGGTCGCATTATGGCACTGAAACCGGAATAAGGTGGCGGGGTATGCAGTGTTCCTTAAAACGTTTCCAATTTTTCCATTCTATTTAAAATGGCGAGGAGTTATAAGGCTCATACCTCACCAACGTAGGGCTAGTACAAAGGAAAACGTTGATGATACTAATACCTCATGAACGTCTTAAGGTGGAACGTAAAGAAAAAGCTAGAAAGACAGAGCTGCTACTATAAGTAGTGTGGCATATGTCTTTTCCACAGAGTTTGGATGTCCCATCTGTCTGCAAATCTGTCGTTCGAGAATCGGACTCCTCGGTCATCAACTGGACACTACCAAGTAGACATTCTTCTCGATATCGAGGGATATGCTTACTGCCACTATATGCCTTTTCACAATCGTCCACATCTGCTACATCATTCCAAGCTTTAGTTTCTGTTTCAAGGCAGTAATGAGTGGTGCTACAGGCGGTATATTTTATAGGAAAATTCATTACCTGACGAGGGAATTCTACCGGTTATCGCCTGTAAAGGAGAACACTGCTGACTCTGGACAATCCATTAAAAAACGTACCTTGACATAGACCCAATTATAGTGACTCTCCTAGCTGTAAGTGTATACAATGTGAATATTGTGTTGGTGTTTGTTTGTTTGTCTGTTTGTTTGCCAGGTGCACTTACCAAAGGCGACAGACGAGCTGCAACTGGGGCCGACTTGACTCAGTTCAATTTTGACACACCGTATGGCCGGTCCGCTCTTAGAAACATGTACCAGTCCATTACTCTGGTATGTTTCATAGTTTGTTGAAAAGAATAAACAATATTTGGGTCGTTCTTTTAACATTGTGTTATTCTCTCTCCTTCATAGCAATCCATTTGTCCAGGAGTCGCTTTGTCCAAGGTCCTCTCAGCAGCTCATATTCCTGATAAATATGAATTTACAGAGTTTAACACAATAGCCAGGGTATGTTAAGTATTTCCTTATTCGCTCACCGTGATGCATATGTCTGCGTGTTCCCAGACAGGTGTACGTAACTTCCCACTTCACTGAAACTTTTCTCTCTTGTTTGCGGCGACACGTTAGGTAAACACGCACCAGTTTTCAAGTGAATCTCTGCTACCATCCGTGTTTAACTTTCCCTCATTGGCATAATACTTTGTGGACAGAAGACGTCGTGCCTTCAAAATACACTGAAAAACTTGTTAAAAGGAAAGGAAAGATTCTCAAGTATTTCGCTAATTTGTTCACATACCTTATCTTTTGTTTTGGAATTCTCTGCAATCCTCTATAAAGCCCTGACAAAACGGACTGACTCGTAGGTAGACGCAAGTTGAAAACTTGGGTCTGCTTTCGACTCCGTTTGGTTAGGCCTTGCGTGCACTTGCGTGAATTGCGTGAACCTGTGTGCAAGTCATGGGAAGTCAACGAAAGTGCGCGCAAGGCCTGGCCAAACGGAGTCGGAGTCGCAAGTAGACTCAAGTTTTCAAATTGCGTCAACTTACGAGTCTGTTTTGCCAGGGTTTAAGAATCAACCATGTCATAATACCTTCCCTTGATGTTTTTTGTTTGCTTTTACTGTTTTCTTTCCCAGCAATGTCTTGTATCCATGGGTGTGACCGATGCAAGTTTTGTAGTAAAAGACAAAGAAGCCAGTGATGTTGGAAGATTTTTAAATCGCATTTTAGGGCTAAGTGTGGAGCGACAAAACTTGGTAAGCATAAAACAGCTGCCTGTTGCCTTGTAAAATTGACAAACTTTGGTTTTCTTACAATCAGTCGAAGCAACTTCATTTAATATTAATATTTAGTATTTAATAATATTTTTATAATAATATATGCCTCAAATTAACATGCAAACATGATCAAATGCGCCTTTTTGTAGAGCAGTTCATCACTTCGTAATCGTCTACTGGAACTTTCGCTTTGCTTAGCGAAGAGCTAAATGTTAAAGGAACAAATTTTCGAGGTATTTACGTTTTTACATACCCGATTCGTACCGACCAGAGCACGAACAGTCCGAAACACTCCTAAACTTGTCACCAGATTGCATCCGTCACTTAGCAACGTATTTACCAGATCTCTCGTACTCGGCCAATCATTGAACTGTAAGCCAGTGATGGATAATAATTTTAATTTTTTTGTAGTTTCTTCCCTTATTCTGAGAATAACTTAAATAATTTCTTCTCACCTCTTTCGTCTGTAGTTATTCTCGTATTTCTGTGAATGCCTTAATGCAGCAATCGAAACTGCAAAACGAGAAGGCAGGTAAGTATTGGTTTGCTCTGACTACGCCTCGAAGGAATTTACTTTAAATTTACACTGGAACTGAGATTCCCTTCGTTAGCTACCTTGATTTATTGAACAAGGGAATATTTCCAGATGGTTGACCATTTATTTCCTAGTAAGAATGTACATTCGAGTCCATTCGAATCAACAAATGGACGTCAGTTTTTCATGCATGCGTCTGTCCTGTTATTGATCATGAATTTCGTCATAACATTGTCAAAGTAGCTGTGGATCTGCAAACTACTTTGACAACGTTATGACGAAATTCATGGTCAATAATAGGATAGACACATGAAAAACTGACGTCAATTTGGTTTTTACAATAACAAAAAGCATAAATCATAAATTTATGTGCCTGTTCTCTTGTTGACAATGGAAATTAACCAATGAACGCGCGAGAATTTATGCAATTATTGTAAAATTCCGCTTCACAACTGTGACCACGGTATACAGAAATTAAATCTAAACAAAACTGAAGCCCTTAAGTCTCCCTCAACCATGTCATTAAATAGTGCGTGACGTTACATAGGTACAGTGAAGGCGTGACAGATGTATCTGGATCTTCAATCACGATGGTTGGCGATCCTAAACCGGTTTTTACCGACTTCCAAAGAGGCCTCATGGAAACAAAGTAAGCGATTGAACAATGTCAGCCGAGTTTCGTTTTAACTGACAGCTGTCAATCACGGTCATTGTAACATAACACTTTTCATCAACAGACACGTGACTCTTAACGTCGACCGCGGGATAGACTGGGACTCGGCCGTGAAGCAGTTTCAAGAGAATGGTTCTAACAAGCTCGACGGCTTTTATTGTTCTAAAAGGGAACAGAAAGGACAGCGGTTGTACCTGTTAGCGATACAGAAGAAGTCCTCAACACGTCTTTTCAACATTACAAGGTAACACAGTCTGGAGAATATGCCTAAGGCGGTTTTGTCTCCTAGAATGTTTCTGAACCCGTTATATTTGACTCAAGGCAAGAGTCCTTATACACTGTTTGATTGACTTGTTTGTCCTCTCAGAAAATGAAATCACGTATTTGGCTCACCTTAATTTGTAATACGAAAACCATGATGCTAGCTGTTGTGAACACTTCCCAGGGTTGTCACAGTCAGGGAAAATCAGATTTCATTCAGCAATTTTGTATCAGGTCAGGGTTTCTTAGTCCCTGTTCAAAGTCAGTGAAAAGGCAGGGAATTCTATCCTCAAGTAACTGCAAATTATTTTCATATAGCCGAGGCAATTTTGTATTTTTTAATTATCTTAATCATCCATTTTTGTTGATTCACGGCCAGAAAAATCATCCTGCACGGTCATCTTGTTTAACAATCAGTGAAAAGTCAGCATTTTTTTATTCTGGTAGGTGGCAATCATGCTTCCTTCTGTCCGGGGTGCAGTCCCGTCCGATATGAAAGAAGCAATGTACTTTGGTTCAGTTATAATTCAGCTTTGTTCTGATGTTTCATCTTACAGACCAAACACAGGCCGGTCGCCATTTGAGGAAGAAAAGGCCGATCTGCTGCATAAGTACAACAAGATTTCTTTGCCAGACGCAGGTAAGAATTCTTTGAATACGAGAAGAGCTATCGTTCAGTTTTCTATGTCTGCCGCAGGCTCTGTCTCTCGTAATCGTAATGTTGCACTTCTTCACTGCAATGCGGTAATTTAATTCATCTGTAATGTGAGTATTTGTCAGTACAGTTGGACTGATTTAGCGCTCGCCTTTACAAATCCAGGCACCAGTCCAGCTGACTCGGGTTCCATTTCAGTCAGGTATTGTGGTTTGGCTCTCTCCTTAAAACCAAAATTTCCAAATTCCAATTAGATTCCGGTTTCCTCTGATTCTCTCCTTGAAAACCAATAGTTTCAAATTCGAACTTGATTCCAGGTTCCTCTGGCTTTGTCCTTAAACATCAACATTTCCAAACTCCAACTTGATTAGGATGATGGACTCGAATGGAAACCAGCTGTAGCTGAAGTGCCTGTCTTCTCTAAAGATGTTAACAATGCTAACAGTCTCTATGCTATTTCTATCATCTCTGTTTCTACTTCAACAGAATCGGGATGGAAAGCTCAGTATGAGAGAACAAGGGATCACTGTATTCATGGCTTGGGATGCAAGACTGGACCTTCTTGTAAAAGTAAGTCTTGTCCAGTTCTGGCCTTCTCTCTGTCACGCAATGTTAGGGAGAGACTCAGGGTCTCTCTCTCCCGACGTTGCGTGACAGAAGAGAGGGGTTCAGAACTGGACTAAAGTGAGCCAGACTGTGCCAAGTCTAACTTCGTTTCCACGTTATCTCCTTGGGATATAGTTTTCACTCGCGTGTCGAAAAGTAATTGGTTTTGTATTACTACACTACGTGATTGGCTTACAAAACTCGATCCACTTTTTCATCCAATCAGAAGTAAAACCAAAAGCAATTTGCGACTCGCACACATGTTTTCCCGCGCTTCACGTCAGTCAGCTACGTGTAATTACTTCGAATTTTGATTGGTTCACTGCATTGTCTGTGTCGTTTGTGATTAGCTAGAGTGATTAATTTGGTTTTGGTTTTACGACAATCAATTGAAAACCGCTGTATACGTTTCAAATTAATCTTTATGTTAAATGAACTCATGAGCTGTGCTATTTTCGTTCAACTGCCTTTCAGCTGGTTGTCGTATCACTCAAATTAATTTATTATGTGGTGGAATTATTCCTCTGTTATCTGCCTTGGAACTGGCCATGGCAAAACACGCCGATAAACTCGGACTTACGTAAGTAAAGCTTTTCGTTTGCTTGTTTCTAAGTTGCTACTGTAATTTCGTTTTTCTTTAACTGATATCTTCATATTAAAAGGAATGTCGGCCTTTTTTCCTCCACTCTCTTATCTTCTTTTTGTTGCCTTTCTGGACTTTTTTCCCCCGTTCTTTTATAATTCGATTTTAAGGCGGCCTTCCACGTGAAGTAGTGATACGTAACATGTTTTTTTCTTTTTTTTTTTTTTTCATGTGCTTTGCTTATAATACTTGTGTTTGCTTTCACAGTAAGGAGAGTCGGTCTTTAAGAGTAGTCCGCGTTGAACTGGATAGTGGTCAGCGGCTAGTTGGTTTGCGTTACCCAGAGCAACTCATACCGGAAGTAACCTTATTTCTCAAGGAACAAAAAGTTATCGACTCGGTCTTAGTAAGTGTGATTTTGTGTCCTATGTTTTGCTCATTTGCTCTATGAAGTTTGTGAGGAAGTAGGGATGTTGCTAAGCGACGTGACGTTTGCCAATTAAGACACAACCTAATATCTTTCGGAATGCAAATGCTATTCCTGATTGGTCCAGAACCCATCGGCAAATTCAAAGAGGATTTGCAGAAACTTTCTTTTACCCCGAATGCACTTCTGGCATCTTCTCCTAGTCTGTTTTGTTTACCTTATTGTGTGTAATGATTATTTCCCTCTTTAGGAAAAACAAAGTGGTGTTTTAGGAGTAGCTGGGCCTTCACAGGAGACATCAAAAGCCAGCCAAGCGTACGAAGAAGCGGAAGCCCCGATCAATCCAAGAACTTTAACAAAGGCGACAACACCACTTGTGACTATTAAAAATTTCTTTAAACCAAGGGTTGTTGAAACAAGACCGGAGCACGATGGAAATGCCTCAGAAAAAGTCGAAGAAGCAAGTGGAGAAAATGGCTGTACTAAAAAAGACTGCGGCATGGCAATTGCAGACAGTCCTTTTACGTCTACTAAAACTACGACGAACAAACAAAGTGTGCCTGAGAAAAATAGCAAAGGAGTTAAATCTGTTTACTTTAAATCCCAGGGATCGAATCACGAGAAAGCTCCGCAGGAAAAAACTTCTGCGGGTGGTCTTTCAAGAATGAATGGCCTTGTAAGTCATCTTCCTGACTCCCTTTCAAAAGAGAACTTGCAAAGAAAGGCATCATTGAAGAGGGCTAACTCTGACACGGCTTCAAGGACCAACAAACGGCAGAAGCAATCAAGTATTCTATCTTCGTTTGGGAAAAAGACTGAAAAGCTTGTCGATGAGACGAAGAAGGAAATTTACTGTCCCGTTTGTGGTGTGAAATTTGCCAATGAAGTGAAAAATGTGGAGATAAACAAACATATTGATGGCTGTCTCACTAAATGACGACCTTCTGTGGAGTTAGTGCTTGTTAAAATCTGTGTCAACAAGAAAGTAAGAAGAGAATTTTTATTTTAAAAAAGTATCAGTGAAGGGAACCATAAACCAAAAGCTACTCAGGTATGAGTGAGGGGGAGGTAAGAATGAGGCCTAAACGTTAAACCAAAAGCGAAAACCAGACCCAAGGATGTCCAACGAACTAGAACGCACCCCCGCCNCCCCCCCCCCCGAAAAGAAAAAAAATCGTTTTTGTCTGCATAACATCAGTTTAAAAAAACAGATCAAGAGAGGTCCTCTACAACAAGAACTCTTCTTTTTCATGTAGTTTGCATCAGTCCGGGACGTCTGTATACGAAACTTAACAGTTGTGTGGGGCAAAAATGAGGGAGGGTACAAAAGAAAATTCTTGGTAGTAGTAATTCTGTATTATGACTAGTAATTCGGTTAAAATTAGAAAATGAATTTTCTCCTATTTATTTCAATTCCAATCAATCCCTCTTTTTAAACAGTGCAAAAATCGTCAAAAGGTTTCCTGGGGCAGCTACGGAAGGGTTAGATTTTGTGAAACCTCGAAAAGAATGAAAAAGGGATTAAAAAAAACTAAATCATTCATCTATTTATTTTTTTTAAAAGTTATGAAGACCAGTGTTTTTAATTAATGCAGATTGTAAGCTATATGAAGCTTGCCTGTTATATAAAGGATTGGAAAATACAAATTGAATGCTCTGAGATACGAATAAAGAGTATTTTAGAAAAGCGCTGTGATATTGTTTTATTTTCTTTTATCTTTGTTCTTAGCCATGGTCTCCTTAGAGACTCTGGGAATGAGGTTGGATCTAAACTTCACTTTAGGTCTCTTGATCACCTGTGATTAAAACATCACGCAAAGAAGTGGCTCGAGATTGCTAAATGAAATATTTGCAAGACGAAGAAAGTCGACGAGCTACCTCTGAGAGGTACGATGGTCACTCCACAAGTTCTATGTGAGCTGTCCTTAATCTACAATCATGGACAAAAGTCTTGGGACAAATTTGCACTTTTGGCGCTTTTGCGCACACGCCCGGCGGGAATACAACTTCACCTGCGGCTGCCTAACCTCGCCCTCCACCCCCCGTACAATGTTGAAAACTAATACCTGCAATGTCACCTGATTTTCAACATTGTGTTGGGTAGGGAGGGAGGGGGGACGGCAACGGGTTTTCAAAGGATATAGCAGTTCTAGAACACAGATAACTCGTTACATTACGTAATTGTCCATGGACTGTTGTCCACGATTGTAGCACCGTTGACCTCGGAGCCGGAGAAACCCTTGGCTCGAGATTGAGCTGACCGCTGTCCGCCGTCCACTTACCGGACGCGCGCCTCATGACTCTCCGAATCCAGCTGATAAACAGCCAACACGCAACCATTATCAGTGCTTACGCTCCCACCCTCAACGCTGAAGATGAAGTCAAGGAAGCATTCTACAGCCAGCTCAACCACGTTCTCTCTACCATCCCGCGAGCCGACAAGATCATCCTCCTCGGAGACTTGAATGCCAGTGTCGGTAAAGAGCGCGATCTCTGGGTAGGAACCATCGGAAAGGCAGGAGTAGGAAACGTCAACGCCAACGGGACTCTCCTTCTGACCACATGTGCCGAACACAATCTGGTGATAACCAACACCCTGTTTTGCCAGAGAGACGGCTGAAAGTCTCCTGGAAACACCCTAGGGCGAAACATTGGCATCTCATCGACAATCACTTCTGCTATCGTGGAAGCCATCTGCCAGCAAATGTCGACCTTCAGGATGAAATCTAATATCGCCTGAAGTGCGCAGGGACTGCGTTCGGCAAGCTCCGTACGCGAACATTTGAGGACCGTGATATTCGCACGGAAACAAAGCTCCTGATGTATAACGCTTCTCTTTGCATCCGAGACCTGGACACCCTATCGTCACCATCCGAAATCTCTCGAGAAGTTCCATCAACCCTGTCTCCAGAAGGTCCACAAAATCAGCTGGGAAGACAAGATCCAACGTATTACAAGACGCGAAAACAACTGGCATCAAAGCCAGCATCATCAAGAATCAACTCAGGTGGAGCGGCCATGTAATACGAATGCCAGACCAACGTCTTCCTGTGCAGATGTTCTACTTCGAACTGGTAGAAGGCAAGCGTTCAAGAGGGGGCCAGAAGGAGCGCTTCAAAGATGTGCTGAAAGCGAACCTCAAGAAGTGCAGCATCAATGTCACTCAGGAGGACAGGCCTCTCTGGAGAACCACTAGCGGCGAAGGAACTGCAACTTTCGAAGCGAGAAGATGTCAAGGGTTGGAGGAAAAACGGAGACATAAGAAAGAGCGCCAACAACAACCACGGCCTGCTCTCCCGCCCAGTACCAGTTGCCCACAATGCGGCCGAGCCTTTTGGGCAAAAAGTGGACTGATATGCCATCTGTGGACACTCCGCTGATCAATACGAAGATTATCATCCTCGACCAAAACCGGGGATAGCCAGGACGACCGGAAGTGAAGGCGTGAGACGAGTTCTTATAAATAAACGCTTCGTAAAAACTTAACTTTTTCCATATGCAGCATCTAGCAAAAGCTGTTTGTTGTCAAAATTGATAACTTTAATCTTTCTTCTTATAATAGGCGTTTTGACTTGTTTCTCAAGAACACACTGATTTAGTCATTGGTACTGCATAATGTTATCGGAAATGGAAAGAACACTTACAATTAAACCTACATGCAAATTTACAGGATTATATCCTTTAAGACGGAATTTTTATGAACGTTAGAAATTAGGATGTGTGAGGGAAGGAGATCCTTTGCCCTCCAGTCACTCTCCACTGGTTTTTCTTACAAATCCTTGTAATTTTGAAAGTTTTTAACCTGCCAGAAAATCCTTACCTTATTCGGTTGAAGAGCCTACAAAGAATTTTCCACTCTCTCCCAATATTTTACCCTTTTTAATACATATTCTGGCCATATTCTGGCCACATTCTGGCCATGCACACATGCACGCTCTCCAGTTCTGAAATCGGTCTCGTGATCAATATTGATGCAAAAGCGTGACCTCGTGTTGATTTGTGTTAATTATGCAGGCAACACCTTGCCCCCACTAAATCTGCATACGTTAAGCCACGCATGGTTGCGAACGTAAACAAGAGTCTAACAAGGAAAATTCTTATAAGTGAAAATCAAAATGGCGTTTACTTTAAGTAAGCTTATGACCTCGTTCCAGTCGGCTTTTCAAAGCCATTCTGGAGCAATCAGAAATACGACTATAGCACTGATCGTTTTTGGCATCAACGCGGTCGTTCAAAGCGAAGACTTCTTCCAGTGTCCGCCAGACGGTTTCGCATTTTATGGAGCCTGTTTCTTTGTCATTCCTGCCCTGTTTCTGTTTCTGGTCACACTATTTCTGCACAATGGATTTTGGAATCTTGTGCGTGGATGCTGTTACTATGAACAACACGAAAGACGAGGCGGCAAGCGGTTCTGTTGTTTCTTGTACCCTCGCTGGCCCTGCAGCAAGAATCTCGTCGAAATCATCTTTCAGAGTTCTCTGTCTGGGTTTATGTGGATTTTCTGGGCCTTGTTACAACGCGATTATTTCATCTGCGCCGCTCTTGGAGGCACGAAGGAAGCAAAGTTGATCAACGCTTCTGAGGCGGAGAAATTGAAAATCGAAGCCGACTACGCGAATGCGGGAAAAAATTCACAAGCAGCTGCTCTCCTGTTACTCGCTGGTGCATTGATTGTAGGCTTTGTTGTGGTCTCCGTTCAGCGCTGCTGTTTTCAGCGAGAAATCGGCTCTTTACCAAGTCCTTATACCTACCAAAAGCTCGAGTCGGAAGCGGCAGTCGAAGCTTTCAAAGCCAACATGGAAAAACTTGCACAGGGGCAAGGGAAAAGACGAGCAGATTTGTACTTTGCCTCAATGTACCCAAAGAAAAATCCCTCCGATATACTCAAGAGCGCTTATCAAGACCTCGTAACGGTGAATAAATTTGACAAAGCGTTCCCTTCCTTGGAAGACTACCAAGAGCTTCAAGCACAAGCTGCTGTAACCGCTTTCAAGGAAAAAGTGCAACAGGAAGGCAAGCAGAAAGTCGAGCTGACATTTATTGACACTACGTGGCGAGAATACGAAGAAAGCGATGCGTTCAACCTTGTCAACAATGCGTACGAGGCAATGGCAGAACGATATCCACGATCAACAGGCGACAGAACACAGCCATATGTCAAGGAAAAGACCGAGGGATCGAACGGCAGCAGGGAAGGCGGTCTTTCTCACGGTGTTGAAATGCTTCCAAGAGCATAAAAAGTTTTATTGCAAGGATAAACCGCTCTGAGATTGAACAGATTTTACAGCATGCTGAGAACATACCCAAGCTGAGAGTAGACATTTTTATTTTATTTTCTGCACTCGTTTGGATCAAGTCTTCCTTCAAGTCTTCAATTCAGCTGTACTTTAATTTCAAATATATTTTTATATATGTTTTTCTACTTTTAAAATATTGTCTTTCGTTAACTTTTCGTTATGTTTATCTTCGACCTCCGTTCTGCATATCATATTAATATTTTTTCCAAAAGTGTGATGTTGCGGGCAGTTAACTGGAAGGGCCAAAAGGGGACTGGCTGAGAGTGAAGTGACCGAGGGGGAATGGTGTAGAGGCTGCCTGTAGACAAAGGTTGTAAGCCGCCGTTCCGATGCTCCCGCTGTGCACTAGGATATCAGAGGTTCAAGGTTTATTTTTCTCTTTCAGGCAAACAGTCTTTAGAACATGACAGCTAGCCTGCGAATACAGCCGCCTCTCATTCGCTCGCAGTAGCGGGCGCGAATGAGAGGCGGCTGTATTCGCAGGCTACATGACAGCAAAATATTGAATTTATTGAAATGATTTGTCGATCAAATCGCGAGCGATGCTGGATTTGAACGAAGCAATTTTTCAACTACTTCCGTTTTGTCAGTACTGGCCTAATATTACTGAACTCACTGCAGAACGAGAAAAATGCAAGTTGTTTCCCTTGGCCATGAATAAATGGAGATAAATTAAGTGTCCTTCTTGTCGTGAGTAAAGTGCAAAACAGAGCTTTTGTTCACGGTAGTAAATCTATGAACTAAATATTTGGGTTCCGATTTGAACAAATTACACTGCAATATTCAGGCTGTATCAAAGGATAACATGGCGTGGCATGTGAAGCATGTGAAACATGTGTTGAGCGATGTCTTGAATTAGAAAATTTATTGCGATTGTGTCACTGACTTAACGTTGATGGGCGACCATTCAAATAAAAATACAGAACAAAGCATGAACAGTTTTGTCTCTCATTTTGTGGCTGTTCAATCTTTTTCTTCTATCGTTTGTATTTTAACTGACTGAGCTATTAGTCAGCTAAGGCAACTAACTGGCAATCTGCAGTTTTTGTGTGATCCAAAAGATTTAGCTCAGTCATATCTTAGCATTGGGCAATGTTGAAACTGGAAACCTATTAAATACCCAAAACAACTGAGAACAATAGACTGATAGCCTCTCGTGATGGCAAGTAGTAACGGTCATTGTCAGCCTGAAGTGTTAACAGAAGTCATTTGCATTGCCTTTGCACAGTACTGTAGTATAAATTAAGTTGTCATGCTCTAGGCCGGGTTGCTTGTCTGAAAAAGAAAAAAACTTAGCACCTTCACTAACAAGTATTGTAATTACGGCATAGCACCTGCCACAAAAACATGCAACATTGCACCGTCATAAAAATTTTTATAGTATGCAAACCGTAATTTGGCCGAGGAAAAATGTAACTTAATAGCGCTGCATGAACGCTAGAAAAAAAAATGAAAAGCACACAAACAATTTTTCTGAAAGAAATTTAACGAAAGATTTGTCCAAGGCCCCACGCACAACGCTTATAATTTTTATCTTAACTCTAATTTGGTCTGTTTCTGGTAGCTTAAAAGAAGCCAGATAGACTGCCTACTGTACGTTGATTCTTAGGGCCTGTTTACAAGGAGGGAGGGTTACCCTAGCAAGCGGGTTAACCCTAGCACTCAAACATTTTCTCTTTTGTCCTTCGTCGTGTTTACAAGGCAGCTAGGG